CACACTGAGTGACCACATGTCTTTCCTGCAGTAAAAACATTCCAAAGGGCCGTATCTTGGTCTGTTATCTGAGAGTCCCGGCGAAGATGGTCTGCTGACGTGTGGCGGTGCTTGACAATTCTGATATTCCAAGGCGGAAGTTAACTTTGTAAGCTTCTCTTCTAAGTCTTCCTTGGTTGCTGGCTCCTGAATCTTAACCGTCTTCTTGACCTGCTCCTTAGGTTTGTATTCCTCGTCATCCCCGTCAAAATCCACAATTATCAAGGCAATTTCCACGTATTTCTTAAGCTTCTCCAGATCTGGAACAATGTTTCTTCCGTCTTTTGTTGTCTGAAGTTGTTTGGCGTGGGCTAATTCCTTAGTAACTTCCTTCTTTAATTCAGTGGAGAGTGCTTTCCACAATGGGTTTCCGCTGTCCGGATTAAGATTTTGGTACTCCATCCTTGTAAAGTAGTCCATAATTTCCTCGAATTCACTGATAAATTTCTTGTATTCTAGTCTAGTGTTGATGCCACCATTTTCCTGGGCCTTGCGTATGAGTCTTGGTATAGAGTCTTCCTTGTAGCGTCTCAGGGGTGTTGCTCTTCCCCATTTTCTGATCAACTCTTTCTTTAAGAGCTCCCAATTTCCGGTTTCGTGTCCTTCCATCTGCTCTATAGCTTCACTGATTTTTCTATTACTGATGATGAAGGGTAATTGGAAAGCCACGTCTCTTCCGCCGGCCTTCTGTAACACCGCAACTTTCTCAACTCTTTTTATAAAAAGTTCCACCTCCGTTCCTTCGAAGTAGAGGTTAGTCTTTTTTGTGTCCAAAACTACTCCTCTTTGTTCATCCGGAAGTTTTATTTCTGTCCTGATCCTGGTTCGTTCAAACCCTGGTGATTGAATAGCTGAAGTAGGAATACTTTGCTCTCCTGCACCAATGGTTGTTTCGAATCCTGGTATCCTGCCGGTGTAAGGGGTTGACGTCTCGAATCTTAATGTGTGTACCCTTGGTGATGGGGTTTCTGATAAGGGTGGGCCACGGGGAGATGCTGATTGACTGAAGAAAGATTTCATCATTTCCTTCATTTCCGCCATAGATGATTCCATTTTTGATATTTTCTCTTGTTGTTCCTGGATTACTGCCGATTGGTCCATGCTGGAGTCCTCCGGATTCGCCATATTTCCCTGTTGCCGTTTTTCCCGTTCGATTTCCTCCACGACTTCCTCGAGTGAATGGATCTCCTGCCGTGTCAAACTAACGTTGTACCAATTCCTCCTAGTCCTAGTATCTGTAATTGTTTCCTCGCCTAAGTCCGTTGGGTTGTCCGTTTCCTCACCTGTCCGCGCCAAAGTCGAATCCTCGTGCTCGTAATCCAGGGTTGGATGTGAATCTTGATGATATTGATGATACGTTGTTGATCTTCTGAAAGTTGTCGGCCACTGTTGGGACACCAGATGTGAGAACTCCTTTGGGATGGGTTGGCAGTCCTTGAGGGGGAAATAACAATAATGATATTTCACTAGATAATATTTACTGTTACGGGTGGTTTGAAAGACCTGCCCCTCTATTTACTACACAAGAATTCTGACAACAATTTAATTTATTGTTGTGGCGTAACTTTATGATGGAGAAAACTTATATGTAGTAGTCTCTATCAGACCTAGATCAGTATGTAATTCAATACAAGATGGTTGTACAACCTTTACACGGTGAGTATGGGTGTGAAAACAATCCAAGTGGAATATTTTTATAGGGTTTTTATGGTTTTACGGTGATTCTGGATAAGTAGTGAAACTGTTGCTGTTGTTGATGTTGATGTTGGTGTTGGTGTTGGTGTTGGTGTTGGTGTTGGTGTTGGTGTTGTTGTTGTTACTGGTGTTGACTAGACTTTAATGTTGAAGGTGTTTGTGTTGATGACCACTGAGCTGGCTGTGTGGAATGAACCGGCTGGGTGATGATGGTGTTGACCACTGAGCTAGCTGGGTACTGTGCTGGCTGGGTGATGATGGGGGGGAATTGGTGAAGGAGAGGCCTCCTTATATATTCTTTTCTGAGTTATTTTTGCTGGTGGTGATGCAGTTGAGGTGATTTTGCTGGTGGTGACCTTGTGGGTTGCACTGCCTCCTGCAAAGAGTACATGCATTGAGCTAATTATGCTGTGGAAATTACTAAATATGGTACTACTGTATGTAAGGATTGCATAACTGGTTGCACTGCCTGGTGGAGGTTTTTCTGTCCACATGCATTTATGCAAAGTCTGCGTAAATTCAATTAAGTAACTAAGTGGAGGCCTAATGGTTGCACATATGCATGCAAGAATTGCATAAATGGTCTGCACTACTGGTGGAGGCCTGCTGATGTAATAATTTATGTGTATGTACTT